CTGGAAGGACAGATCCTGAAGCTGAGGCTCCAATACTTCGGCCATCTCATAAGAAGAGAAGACTCCCTGATGTTCAGAAAGTGTGAAGGCAAGAGGAGAAGGGGACGACAGAGGACGATATGGTTGGACAGTGTCATCGAAGCGACCAACATGAATTTGACCCAACTCCGGGAGACAGTGGAAGATAGGAAGGCTTGGAGTGCTCTGGTCCATGGGGTCACGAAAAGTCGGACATGATTTGTGACGTGTGCCATGACATCACCTGCCTGTCTTGGCTAAGGCTGGAGTTTCCTGGCCGATGGCAAGGCAGGAGGTGGGACTTATAGGGGTGGAGCTTGTGTATATAAGGGGGGTGTACAAGGAGAGAGGGGTTGTTGAGGGAGTTGTTGTTGGGGAATGGGAGTGTGAGAGGGTTTGGTATAGGTTAGGTTACTGTGTGTTAAGAAACTAAGAACTGTGCAGGGTGAAGGTCTGATAAATATAGTAGTACAAGTGATTCTTTTACTGTGTGATTACCATTTTATTTCTGTATACAATAAATCATCCTTTTCATTTTTAAAATCCACAATAAGTCTGTAGTGTCAGGTTTATGTGTGGTTGGTGGCAGCGAAGCACTGTGTGTGTGTGGGAAGGATCGTGGCCTGTCATCTCTTGTGGTGACGTAGGAGGAGGTGGCAGTCGTGACATGATTTAATAACTAAACAACAACAACAACGTAAAATCTAAAGGTCTGTCGCTATTTGTGAAATAGCTGTGCCCTGCTGAAATGAAAAAAAGAAAAGAGGCCATCATGGTAGGAATCAAAGCTTTCCCTATATGTGAATCTCAAAAACAGAACTCTTTCCCTGGTGAAGTTAGGTCAGCACCACTTTCATTGACATGACAGGCAGTTAAAATGTATTAAAGGTAGTTATTTGTTAAACAGTTAACATGGTCTCTAAATAACTGGTTTAGAGAATGGTTAGATCTATTTTAAATAATGTTTTTAACAATTTTTGATCCACTGTATTTTTACAGAAAGTTTTGGATATTTTGTGAGCCCTGCCACACAAAAAGGCAATAAACAAATAGTTTAAGAAACAAACAATTAACCACTTTATGGAGATACGTGATTAAAGATTGCTACGTAAAAGACAGTTCCAGATTACTGGGTTCTACTCAGAAATATCTTATCTTGCTCACTTACTGGTTTTTTCAGTGGTAACCTTGGAGGCAAATCTGAAATAAACTCTTCAAATCTGATGAGCTCATGAGCATGATGCAAAAGGGCTTCAGAAGCCTGGTTTTTATGCACCAGGATTATATGGAAACCATGGCGATGTCTCAAATCACTGATTTCAAGTGCAAAATTTACATCAGCTGAAACACAAGCCCAACAACAAATAATTGGATTAACAAGATTATTTTGCCCAATTCATATTTGTACCATTTGTTTTCTTCAAAAGAACTGGAAAAGCAATATTTGAACAAAAATATCAAACTATAATGCTATACAGCAATTAAGTTAAGACCCCCCCACACACACACACTAATTATTATTAGCTGCTACATTGCCTGTTACAATTCCCTGTAAGGATAGTTTCATTTAAAAAAATCAAGCCATGCCCGTGTGCACACGCTCCTACTATGAATAAGGGCCTAGGCGCACAGAGCTTAAAAACGGAATTTATTTCAACTGGAGTAAGGCAGTCTTGATAAATTTCCAAGGAATGTAGTAGTCTAATGTCATCTAGGATTTTATCTTTTAAAACAATACAGTACAGTTTATCGCATCCTTCTGTTTACCCTTTCCTTCTCACTCAGTTGCTTCTAAAGTGCAGTTTTAGAAACAGAAACTGGACAAGGAGACTTACAGAGGAATGCTAATAAGGGAAAGAATTCACAGCTCCTCTCCCTTTGTTAACCAAAGGGCCACAACTCAGTGACAGTGTCTTTCATGTTCATGCGGAAGGTCCCCAAGCTCAAGCAGAGATGGGGAGCCTTTCTGCCTCGCCCCAGCGTCTCTCTATGTCTCAGCCAACATAGGCAACTATAAGGAAGTTACAATCCAAAACATTTGGAATGCCAACATTTCCATCCCAGGTGGGCAAATCTACCTCAGCTCCAGAGATCTATTGCCACAAGATTAGTTAGACCAACAAACAGTCTCTCTTGCAATAATGTAGTTTTGTGTGTCTTATCCGCTCCTAGAGGCAGCAGCTTCTGAAGCTCAATCCAGCTATGGCTATGGTTTCTCATTTAGAGCGACAGTCTGAAAATCATGCACATGTTCAGCAAAGGCTGCAGTTAGATTTGGACTGTGAGTTCATGTAACACTCAGGTCTTACACTCATCTGAGCAAGCATAATAATCTTTTGAGAGTATTGCCAGGGTATTAAAATGAAACTAACGTAAACTGTATGGGTCTGTAGCTTTTTGTGAAATACAGTACACAGGAACATACTCAGTTGTTTTATGAATCTAGCTCAATTTAAGCCCATCTCACAGCAGAAAGCTAAGAAGGTTAGGGGTGTATCAAACTCACTGAGCAAGGAATGCTCCAGAATATAAAACGAACAAAAACACGCTGTTGCCCCGCACTAATGTGTGCAGCGGCTGGAAAGAGGTAATTCCAATAACTTTAGCTTCCAGGTCTCGATTATAATTGTTATTCAGCAGTTGGTTATACAATTTTCCTTTCTAATCTGACATCTTCTCTCATGACTAACACCACAGACAAGAGTCTTAGTGGGGCGTTACTCAAAGCATTTTTATATGAGAACTCCAGAGAGTTTAGTTTTATATTATTATTTATTAGATTTATACCCCGCCTATTTGGGCGATTCGTCCACTCTATATCAATCCTTTCCAATATTCTCAGTTACAGGATGTAATGTGAAGGAAATCAGAGAGAAATGAACTAAAACAACCCACCTCAAGCAATATATAAGGCAACCAGCATTACTGATATACATTAGCCAACTTTCATTTTTCTTTAGAAGCTTACAAACAAGACAGCAATAAAAATATCCATGCTGGTCCAGGAGGGGAAACCAAAACTGAAACCCATAATTGGCAATACCTTTACAGTATTAGGAAGAACCAAAATCTCACATTCTATAGATTTATCGTGACGGCATAGAGTACAAAATGTTTTTGCATCACCTAACCTGATGAGAAGTTCTGGAGAATTTGAAGGCTTTCACAATATTGCAGCATTTTAGTTGGTCTCAATAGCTGTAGGTTTTGTATTCACATATCCTCAATTTAAGAACGTTTCAACTTAAGAACACCATTCCAAAACAGATTAAGATCTTAAGTAGAGGTTCCATTGTAGTTTCTATGGACGGAAAAGAGCAGATACGGATTAAATGGTTTTCAATGCATTCCTATGGGAAATGCAGATTCAACATAAGAACTTTTCAACTTGAGAACCACCTTCCAATACGGATTAAGTTCTTAAGTAGAGACCCCACTGTACGAAAGTTTCAAAACCAAAACATCTGCTGCTCAGACTGACTTGGGTCAAGAAAGGGTGCAGCTACATGATGTGGAAAAGTCCAATTTTTGTGTTTTGCCTCATAACTTCTAAGGCACTTCCGCTGTCTTGATTTGATGTTGACATTCTCACCAGTAGGATAAACAGTGCTACTTTGAGAGTCCACCCCACACTTCTCCAATCGCCCTTCATTACTGACCTCTATGTCTTCTTTACTTTGTCACCCCCCTCCTCTTCTAATCTGGCAAATGCTCTGACCACCGGAATAAAGCAACCAAATAAAAAGCAAGCCATAATATCTCATCACTGAAATGGCAATAGGATACAGTGCCGATTTGGAAATGATTATTTTTAAAAAAAATATCTCAAGGTACTCAACACCCACCATGTTCTTGAATGTCTCACAGTGGCTCTCATGAATATATCTCTGCTGGACACTCCCCCCCGCCCCAATTGATAATTGAGAGCTAGAGAGATATTTACACACACCAGGAGAAGGGGGGGAAGTATGCTTCTTAAAATAAACCAATTAACCTCTGAAAAAGTGTACACTACAGAGTATGTCAGTAGTCACAAAAATTACATCAATTTCAATGGGGGAGCACCAAAACAACAGGCAGAATATTAATGTAGCTGCACCCTGAGACAGCTCGATTATGTTTCTGTCGACAAGAAAACTAAACACATAGGAAGACTATTATTTAAGATTATTATAATTTAAGTGCAATATACTCAAGAAGTATAGCTCTCAAATTTCTATATTCAGTCACTGGAGTGAGCTGAACAAATGAGTTCTTAACTCTGTGTGTGGGAGGGGGGAGGGAGAGAGCGAGTCAATGTAATCAAGCAACCTGAAAAATCTTTTAATAAATCAAAAACAACACAGTTTACACATACTTGATACAAGGACCACAGTGGCTGGTGCTGAATGTGTATCAGCGAATCTTCTAAGACTTTGTCTGAGTTTGTCATCAGCTGCATTCTTTACTGTGGCATTAATATGTGCAACTGTCACCTACAGAAATAAAAGGAACACCCTAACTAAGGGTAAACTCAGCATGAACCAAGCAAGATTTAATAATTCCCCAATATATGCTATATAATGGATAGCAGTATGATATTTAATAACTTCTCTATGAATGCCAAATAACAGGCATCAATGCGACACAGCTGACAAAGGCTGCATTATTAGAACCATAATTTCTAAATTAGGAAAAATAAAGAGTTTCATTTTATTTTATACTGACCAAACATGTCCACCTTACATTGAATACCAGGTGCAGTTCTGCAGAAAACACTTTAGGAAGGATGCAAATATAAATACCTTCAAAAGAGGTCAAGTGTATAAGAAGCACACATTTGAAGACTGAAGAAACTGGGTAACATATTCCTTCCTCAATCTTCTTCATAATATCACTCTGTAAATTACCCCACATTGAAAAGGGAAAAGCATATTCTCTGCTGCTCTAAGGACCAGACTTCAGGGGGCATTTTGGTTTAACATTATTACAGCAAGACCCCCCGTATCCACAGGCAATCTGTTTCGAGCCCTCCCCTGCGGGCACTAAGCGAACGCCATACAGAGCATCTTCTCTGGCTCCCTCTAGGGGCCAGTTCTGGCAACATCACCCTCATATATTCTGGAGATTTTTCTTTTAATGCTTTAAAAGGAGTCTCATACATACAGAGCATCTTCTCTGGCTCCCTCTATGGGCCAGATCTGGCAACATCACCCTCATATATTTTGGAGATTTTTCTTTTAATGCTTTAAACTAAAAGGAGTCTCATAGCACAGTGGTTAAACTGCTATACTGCAGCCAAAACTGTGCTCACAACCCGGGGTTCTATCCCAGGTAGCCAACTCAAGGTGTGCTCAGCCTTCTATACTTCCAAGGCTGGGAAATGAGTACCCAGCTTGCTTGGGGGGCAATGTGTAGCCTGTGTAATTAACTTGTAAACCGCCCAGAGAGTGCTTTAAGCGCTATGGGGCAATATATAAGCAGCACACTTGGCATTTTTGCTTTAAATATTGTTGAGATTATAGATAACTGAATATGCAGATACTGTTCCTGTGGATACTGGGGTCCAGTGTATAACACATGCATTAGAAGTCACAACTGTTCAATTAACAGAATCAGGTATCTGGGGGCGGTCCTCCCCTGTCAGAAGGGAGGCAGAGGTTGGGCAGCAATTTCCTAGGATATCCTAGTTCAGGATTTCCTTCAGTTTTTAAAATTCTATTAATCCTTGTTCAGCACAGATCAAAATCTTAGCCGGAAAGATGTTCTGGGAAAACAGCAGAATCCAAAATATTTACCTGGCAGTTATTTAGCTCTTCAATAACCTCCTTGTTCTCCTTACTAATGTCACACACGCAAATGAACTCTGCCTCTCTGTGGCCTTTAAAAAACTTTTCACGAATTCTCTGTACCACCGCCACAGCTGAACGGCCAGAGGGAACAGAACAATTTTCAATATCCCAGAACACTCCAATGGGAGGCAGGTTTTCTAATAGTTGGCCTGTTATAGCAACTTCTGGAGACACTATAATGGTAAAAGATAAAACAGTCACAGACATTCCAAACGGTATTGGTAAATATGCCTCAATATCTAAAGTTTGCTGCATTTAAAAGAAGTTATTGTGGTCATCTCTGGGATACTGCATGGGGAAAATGTCTACTTTAAAGGCTGTATACAGTGGAAGGAGTCCAGTGGTGCTAACACATACTTCAAAGAAGCCTTTTAAAAGTCTTCTGAAAACAGGTTCTTTGCCATCTATATGCACAATCATATGAATAGAATTGTTTTGCATCTTCTTAAATGAACTGGGCCCTTAAACACAGCATAATGAATTAAGTTACTGCTAAGGTAGAACAGTTTCATTACAACTAATGCTAATTTCAAGTTCAGTTTTTTTCATCTGAAGTCTATTTGATAATGTTATACTGTATTATACAATTGATAGATGCAAGTCTGCTATAGAATGTACACTAACAAGTCAACAGAGCTTTTCACTAAACCGATGTTATTCTATCATCTTCTAAATATGCTGAATGGGAAAAAAAGACTTTTATCTAGGCTTCCTAAAATGGCCAACCAGATGCACTAGGAAAACCTACCGTATTTGCCGGCATACAAGACATCTTTTTTGGCCCAAAAAACATGCCTCCAAGTGGGGGGTGGTTGTCTTGTACGCAGTCATGCCTGAGCGGCCAGAGCCCGCCGCCCCGCGCCGCTGAGCCCGCTTGCCACCAGAGAGCTGCTTCTCCTTCCCCTCCTCCGCCACCCGCTTCCCTTTCCTTCTCGGCCTCACAGCTGAGCCAGCTCGCCCGCGCGCCACCGGAGAGCTGCTTCTCCTTCCCCTCCTTCGCCTCCCCGCCCGCCCTTTCCTTCTCGCCCTCCTCGTGGCCAGCCATGAACTTCTAGGGCAGGCCTGGGCAGCCACTGCCGGCGCAGCGCCGTCCACTCTACATTTTGAGTGGAAATG